GGAATCTTGGTTTCAGTTTATGGCAATCATGAACTGAAAAAGGAAAGCTAGTTGTTCAGCCCCAAACCAAACCATGAAAATATGAGGAATGAGAAATTTATTAAAGAAGTGTATGTATTTTTTTCAAAATGCTATAATTTTAAAGGAATCAGATCACTGGATTTGGTATCTAACTCCAATGTCTTCCAGAACTAAGGTAAACATTCAAATGAAAGCCTTTCTGTGCACATATGTAGCATTTGCAGAACTATGGTTCTGATCTACAGGATGTTTTCTTTTAATTTTTTTTATTAAAAAATAGTGCTTCCTGTTCAAATAAGTCCAGAAAATACTGGATTAAAGATCAAGTGTACTAAAGAGCATTCTGAGCCTCTAAATGGTGGGAGCCAGTGTGCAGTGTTTTGTGAACACGTTTGCTCACAGAACCCTTCTTTGCTGAAAAGCCAATTAGCTTTTCTGAGAAGAATGTGCCATATTTTTGGAGGAATCTTATCCCAATTGAATGGGGCATTCAGGCCAATGTCGACTGGAATCAGGTTGGTACCAACAATTTCCTGGTACTTGAGTGAAAATATCCATTAGAGTTTGGTTGAAACAGTAACAAAAAGTCAAAGACTTGATGGAGAAAAGGAAAGGTATGCAAATGTTCAATCACAAGTGTATAGTCGGGAATGCAAAGGCCCAAAATTCATTAGAAAACAGTTTTTAATGATCGAGCCTGACCTCTATTCTAGGGTTTAGCAAGCTATGTTTGAATTTTACTTTATGGAATAGGTTTCTGAAAAGTCATGTATAAACTGAAGCATTGTAAACAAATAAGTGTAGAATACTAGAGAAGAAACTCTATTTAAAAGAACTGCAGCATCGCAATGAAAATGTCTGTGGTGTAACTGCAGCCCTGGTTCACAGCTGGGCAGCCAGCGCCCTCACAGGCCGTGGTTCTTTGATCCTCACCACAAGCCTGGGAGATGAGCAGCCCAGAAGTTCATTGCCTTAGAAACAGGCTTACTGCCTCCCTGGTTTCCCAGATGAGGAAATTGAAGCACAAAAAATAAAGGGAGTTTTCCCTTTAAGTTAGACAAAGTTCTCATATGTAATGTGTTCATTATTTTTGTCAAGCTATTGTTAATTATACATGTCAAAACTTTATAGCTTCAAACTGAAAATTAGATTTAATATAAATGTTAAAAGCAGTGTTAAGTACAGACCCAAAATGGAGTCACTTTTCTTAGGCCCCACCAGGACTTAATATCTAACCTAACTATAGTTCCAGCCTCTCCCAGGAGTGAAATTTTAAATCAGTCTGGAATCATCAGTGAGACAATCTGTCTGATAAGACCCCCGCCTTTCTTCCCACAAAGGGGAAGAAACAACCTGCTTGAAACAGCCCTTCCTTTTCTTTTGCTAATAACTTTCTTGTCCCGCCTGCTTGAAACAACCCTTCCTTTTCTTTTGCTAATAACTTTCTTGTCCCGCCCAGTTTCTGCCTATAAAAACCTTCCAGTTTGTACAACTCCTCAGAGAACCTCTCTGTTTAGTAGATGGGATTGCTGCCTGATTCATGAATAGTTCAATTGAACCAATTTGATCTTCACATTCACTCAGTTGAATTTTTGTTAACACTGGTATAGAAAAGTCAGTAAGTACCCTGTTTCCAATTTTGAGGAGACGGAACATGAGAAAAGCTTAAAGAACATCCAAAAAATGTCAATTTAAGTCATTAAACAAAGGATCCAAAGTACCTACTTAACTAGAGGAAGTGAATCTTGGGAGTAGCTTACAGGTTTTTCCTCCACAGGAGCTCTAGAAAATTCCTGCCTTTCTGAGTCTCAGGTTACTGGACAGGATGCCTTGAGCTCAGAGACAGTTAGTGCCTAGAGGCCACCATGCTCTAAGCTTGGATGAACTTGACCACTTCTGGCCATAGCAGTCTGGCTGAGAACTGAGGCCAAACCACTCCAGAAGCCATCCTGGCCCCCGAGGTCTGCCACGCACTGGAGGGTGACTAGCCCACTGTGGTGACACAGCTGAAGGGGGCGGGGCCCCATGGTCCCCACCTCCTGGTGTCCCCACCTGCCTTTATGCAGACCCCTCCCCTCAAGGGTGGACAGGAGCTGCGGCTTGCTTCTAACCAACAGAATATGGCCAATGTGATGGGATGTCACTCCTGTGATGATATTACATTGTGAATTACATGACCTTATGACTTGCTAGCTGTCATGACATGAACTGCCTATGGAGAGGGCCATGTGAGAGGGAGCCAGGGGAGGCCCTGGGAACTGAGAGCATCCTCCAGTCAACGGACAAACGAAAACTGAAATACTCGCATCTACAACCGCAAGGAAACGAGTTCTGCAAACAGCCTGCGGGAGCTGGGACGAGCCTTGAGGGGAGGACACAGCCCATTGGGCACCTTGGCTGCAGCCTGTGAGATCTGCACAGAGGCCCCAGCTCAGCCCTGCCCAGACCCCAACCCACAGATTTGAGAAAATAAATGCATGTTTTTTAAGTCAACACATTCGTGCTGCGATAACACAACCACCCACCAATCAAGAGTGTCCAGTGTTAGAGACTGAACGTGAGATGGATGCCCAAAGAACCAGTCAGTGCCGGCAGCAGCCGAGCACATGCAGCCAATGTGGGCTCAGAGGGCCGTCGCAGAGAGGAGCTGCTGGCAGGGAGGGGAGCCCCAGGGGCCTGGCCCTGAGGGGACTCATGACAGCCTGTTCACCATGGTGAGGCACTGTGGACAAGATTTCAATCCTACACAGGCTGGCCTCCATGTGCACCCCTCTCCCTGTCTTACTTCCGTCTTTCCACTGAAACCTGCTCATCTTCCCCTGATTTGTCTCAGCTGGCAGCCATCAGCCTTCTGGTCACCCACAGCAGGAAACTAGGAGTCATTGTGCATTCCTCCTCCCTCACCCCTACCCATCACAGTCTTCCTAATGTTACTCCTTAAAGATAGCTCAGCTCCAATCCCTTCTCTACTTCTCCTTGGCCACACTGCCCTCATTCAAGCTTTCAGCTCCAAATACCCAACTAGTCAACTCCAAGAGGCTAACTGAACTCACGCCAGTCTTCTGTGCCTTTTAAGATATTGCCAGTGGAGAGGAATATCATCACGTACCATTTCACTTAGCATCTACTGAGTTAAGCACTGTTCATGTATCTACACACATACACTCTTTAAATCTTTCCTGAGACCCTAAAAAGAAGTGTCATTATCCCCATTTTAGAGATGAGAAAATGATGCTCAGAGAGGTTTAGTAACTCATCAAAAGACACAGAGCTTTGTTGCTAAGCCAAGGCTTGAGGCTGCTCTATTCAAAATCCAAGTTGTGGGCCGGCCGAGTGGCGCGATGGTTAAGAACTGGCTTGGGATGCCAGAGGGCCCGTTCAGATCCCACATATGAGGGCCAGTGACACTGCCCTCCACAGCTAAGATGCTGAACAACAGCTCAACCTGGAGCTGGGCTGCTGTGAGTCTCTGGCAACGTCGTAGGCTGCAGCCCCTGTGGCAGTGGGTTGCCATGGGCTACCGTGTGTAGCCAGCAGCCAGCGTGAGCAGCCAGCAGCCGCAGTGAGCGGCCGTCCAGAAGCCGGAGACTGATCTGCCTCGCTCGGGAAGAGTGCAATGATGGTGCCAACTTGGGTCAGTGAAGCAACGTCCTCCACAACTAGACTGAAGAACAAAAACGACAGCAACTTGTCTGTTCCCCTTCCCCCAGTTCCCCAGTGCTGTTCCCATCCCCCAATTCCCCAATAAAAAAATCTTAAAGAAAAAAAAAAAACCCAAGTTGTTTCCACAACCTGCTCCTAAATACAAATAATCCCTACAACTCAGCCTGGCAGGTGCTGCAATCCTGCCCTAAGGATGAGGTCTTGCGGGCAGCAGGAGGCGAAGAAGGGGTTGAACCAGAGTTTTCTTGGACATCCTTACACTTTACCAGGCACCGCCATGGCCCCCAGAGCGGTCCACGCCAAACCTAAGGCACTTCAAACACTGAACTGAGTCCCCCACTCCACAGTGGGACTTGCAGTGACTTGCCACCACCTGGCCTGCTCAGGATGGAACCTTTGGTAGTTCCCTACACAGAGCTGGCTGCATCACTGCCTCTTCATTTTGTGCATATTCTCCTTTTGTCTAGAACAAATGTCCTCTTTCCTTTGCCTTTTTCATCCTTCAAGACTCATATCACCTCCTTCAGGAAGCCTTCCTCCTCTTCCAGACAGGGTTATTTATCCCTCCATTCTGTGTAACACCAGTGCACACTGCTAGCATGCATATTATTGCGTGGTAGGGCACAGCTGTGCTAGCACAGCATATTATGACACGACTCTCATTAGTGTACGTGTCTGTCCTCCCCAACAACCCGGAAGCTCCTGGGGGTCAGGGCCATGCTCTAGTCCATCGTGTATCCCAGTGTTTAGCCCAGGGCTTGGGACATATGAGGATGTGGGTCGAAGTGGTGCCCCTGCTCGTGACATGATCACAGACACAGCACCAGAAGTTTGTAAGCTGATTAAAGGCAAGCCTCGTTTTCTTTATCATTGCCGCCCTACCATCACCTACTTTAATTCTCAGCTGGCTTGGGCTTTTCCACAAATAGCCGCTGGATAAGTATTTGTCGCAGAATTGTCTCTCCTTAGCCTATGCAGGAGTTTGCTGGGCTCGTGTCCTCCTTCCAGGGAGGAGAGTCCACAGTCATCTCTGGCAGCCCTGTTCACCCTCGTGCACATTTACTGTTGGGCTGTACCGCCTAGTGGACATTTAGAAGCCTCTGGATACAAACCTGTCTGGGAACATTTGGAGAGCACCTGACTGAGGCAGAAGAATGACCTCTAGTGGTCCTTGCTAGCTTTGTTGGTGCACGGGAGAGACTTCCAGTGGGAAAAGATGCAATAAATTAAAAGGCTCTAGTGCTAAGAGCATTTAATAATATATGAGGACTCTGGCAACCACAACAGAACAAATGGCCACAGAACTGCATAGGAAATAGTAAATATACCGCTTTATTATTGGCAAAAATACCCATCTAGTGTAGCAGCAAATAAAATACATTTTATAAATGTTTTTATAGTCTATGAAATTTTCAATTTAAAAAATGCTTTAAGAAACTCTGACGAACATTCCAGATGACGTAAAATACAGACAACGGGTATATCACAGTGTATATTTCTTAAAAGGCATATTTTAAAATGACTCTTATCTTTTAAAAAATCCTCCCCTCTCCCCCAAAGAATATTATTTTGCAATAAGGGAATGTGAAAGAAATGTCTATTAAAAGCAGGGCGAGGGGAGAGGTGTGAGGTGCCCATCTTTAGTGAGTCTCAGAGCAGACAGACCTTGTTAGAAGCTGAGGCTCATGGAAGCTGGACAAGCAGACAGCAAAACCAGGGCTCCAATTCCAAAAAAAACCTCCAAATTGTACACATCAGCATATACCTTCTCTAAACATAAACTTTTAACATCACATCATGCCATTTTCCCCATGGCTATTTGTTATATTAGCAATTCAGAATTGATAAAATCAGTCTTATTATGCTCATTTGACTGGTTTGTTTTTTTTCTTTTCTTCTCTTTTTTTTCTTTTTTTTGGGTGAGAGGGTGATGGCACTTGTTTTTCGGATGAACAAGTAGAGTAGAAAAAGTTTGGTTCCTTTTGTTAAAGACAAGTTCCACCAGAATTACTTTCTCCCTGATTTAGCTCAGAAACAAAGTTCCTAACAATCTTGCAGGGTAACATTAAAATGTAAGTCAGTCTCCTTTGGGTGTTTACTGAACTGTGTGCTAATAAACCCAGGGGCTCTGAAATATTCTCTTCACTACTTTGCTTCTGGGTACTACTGGTCCTTACAAGAGAGCTACCACTTTGTAAAGAAAACTTAATTAAGTGCTTCATCAAGGCTATATGATTTCACATTTGAACTATGTAATTCAATTTAGCAAACACTTCAGATCCTACAATAAGCCAAAAATGATATGAAGCCCAGAGACAGGGTTGAGGCTCACAACTGCTCACACGACGAGAGGACGAGAGCACACAGGGCAGCAGCAAGTAACTATGCGAGGGACTGATAACGAATGTCACGGAAAGCCACAAAGAAGGACGTGACCAGAAAGGCCTTGGCATGTTGTGGGACAGCAATCAGGGGACATGGAGAGCAGGGAAGGACGGGGCAAGACCTGAGGAAGGCTGAAGGCAGCTAGTATGCTATGTCTGGGCAGTATTCTGTGGCTATTTAGGGTGAAGAGATAATCAGATCTGGGCTTTAAAAGGGCATTTTATTATTCGTGTATTATTCTTCAATAAACCTGAATTTAAAAAAAAAAAAAAAAGAGTGGGTGAGAATGAAGCAGTAAAGGAATGAGACCCAGAAGAGAGGTGAAAGAACCAGGAGAAATCTAAGTCAGAGAAACATTAGCAAATGCTACGAAGCCTGAAAAGACCCGTCTCATTCTGCAATAGGAAGTCACTGGTGACCTTGCCCCAAAAAGCCTGGCAGAAATGGAGGCGGACTGCAATGTTTGTGTGCCTGGAACATAAGGCTTCCTTAACCATTAAAGACAAAAAGAGTAATATTTCCCTACACCTACAAATTCAAGCATCTCTGCAGGAAAACAAACAAACAAACAAAAAACCTCCGTACACTTACCTAAAACAACCTATCTATCCCTAATTCAGAACACAATTTGCACAGTTCGGGTTGATGAAATGGCCAATTGCATTTGGAAAGTGCTGCCAGTTTCAGAGCCCATAAGGAAGCTACACTCTGTGAGTCTCCACAACCAGGGTACAGTTCCCAGCACTTCCCACCAACCCTGGGGGACACTTGTAACCCCTCCCAACACGCTGAGAAACAGCAGCCAGGAGCAACATTTTCAGTTGTGCTGAAATGAAGACTCTGCATGGGCCAAGACGATATCTTGTCACTAAAACCAACGTGTGGTCAATGAGTGTCAGTCACGGTCTGTGTTTATGTATTTTTATCATAGGTGGAAAATAATGATATCATACATTTGTTTTCACTGGATACATGAGATTTTAGGAAAGCTTTTCCAGCTGTAACTACTGAAATATATTAAGAATTATTTGGTGACTTAGCCCTTAAGATGTTAACCAATTTATCCTTTTGACTCCTGTGCCTTGAGATGTATTTGGTTTAATTACTAGAAATAATTAAGCTTTTTTTATTTAAAACATAAAGTTTATAGAAGCTAACTTTCCTAAGGATTTTGGAACTTGGAAATCACGCAGACACCTGGTCCTTCTTTAATGCCTCATGAGCACAGACCATTCAGAGGAGAGAAGCGATGCACTCCAGAAAAGCACCTTTGTCCTCAAGGCAGCTGGCGGCTTCGTTTCTGCCCAGGACTCAGCACACGGCTGGCAGGACCTTCACAGTCCACGTGAGAAATGAAGCCTCGGCTCTGCCTCAGCTTCTCAGACAGAGAACCAAAGGCCGCGTTCTACCTGTGTAAGCCACATGTGGGCAGTCAATCATTCTAGCAACGCTTCTGACGATAATGTCAGTATAACTGAGAACATTTAGCTTGGTGGCACACAGCCGAATGACTAGGAATTAGTAGTTGGCTACACGATGTCAGAACATGCTCCCGCATTTAAATTAGACCAAGATGGGGTGTGGGGTATTACTGGAGGAAGTATCTTCTTCACAGAAAGACTAGCCATAAACTCAAGAGCCCAAATTAGTTTTAAATTTTTTACTACATCCTTTCCAAAAGCCCTCAAAAAGTGAAACTTATGTACTAAATCATAAAAAGAAGCCGGGTAGTCTATATTAGCAACACACATTTTAAAAAACAGCATTGCCAGGGAGCAAAGCAACAAACTGACCATAACTGGGAAATAGGGTTTTCCTAAGCCTGATGACAAAACAAAAACAAAAAACAAAAAAAAACCCTATATAATCATTAACACACAGGTATGTTAACTCAAATTTCTTGACAAGACTAAAACAAGGGAACATCAAAAGTAAACCACATTTCAAAAAAGATAGGATAAACAAGAAATTACCACTTCACATAGCAAGTAATAAACTAATCACCCGAGAGATAAAAGACAACATATTTAATGGATTCGAACCAGGCTCAGGGAAAACCCACGACACCTCCTTTAAAGTTGATGGCAGAAGACAACTGGCTAGACCCAGGTCTGACCCCCGTGGTGAGCCCCACACGCCTGCAGAACAGGGATTTCCACAGGCCTGCTCCCAAGATCCAGTGTCCTAAGCATAAGGTCAAATCCGTGGGTTTACTCTATCCTTTACTCAACATTGATCTGCAAAAAAAAGGAAATATTAAATATTTCTTAAAATGAAACTATGTCAGAATGGAAGACAATGCTGCAGTGCTAGTCTCTCCTGCCTCCTGAAGACTCGAGTCCTAGGACAGGAAAGCTGCAGGGGGTCCAGAGCATGGGACAGGGCCGCTAGTCAACGCACAAGTGCCACGAATTTATGGAAGCTGAAATCCAGATGACAAGAACGAAGAAGGGTCTGTAGAGAGGTGGGGCTGGTTTGCCTCGTGGGATCCCCAACATGAGCAGACTGAGCAGCAGGAGTATGGAGTGTGGCTGAAAATAGTGATATTAATTAGAAGTCTGCCTAGGAACAGTCCTTACTCCGTCTGTCACCAGGGCTCTTCTCTTTAAAGAAACCGAGTGTCCGGGGAGAACCAAGGAGGCCTGCCTGGCAGCTGGTCCCAAGAGCACACCTTCCCTGGTGTAGGCATTAGGGGTGTCCACACTCATCCCAAAGTCAAACCTACTATTTCACAAGCCCCACTTATGTACATGGAGCTCCTGGCTGGTCTTCCTAGTCTCTCTAAGTATATGGCTGGACAACGAGGTCACTGGACATTTGAGAGAAATTGCAGCTTAAAAGATAAAGAACAGAATCAAGTGATAAACTGAATAAAAATTAAACAAAGTTAATTCTGGGAATCGAACTTTACAAAGACCTAATGTCTTTAGAATGTCAAGATATTGAATCCATAAGGCCAAGAACAATTGCTATGAAAAATAGAGACAAAGAAAGCTTTTGTACACACACAGAGACACACACAATGAATTAGAAAACAAAGTTCATTCCACTAGTGCATGCCTCAGGAGGGCAAAGAATTTCATCTGTTTCAGTCATTGCTGTATCTTGAGAACCTACAGTAGTGCTTGGCAAATCACAGGTGATGAAAAGGCGGGGGGAGGGGAGGAGATGGGAGGGAATAGGCAAGGGGGAGGGGGAGGAATCTGAAAGAAAATAAAGATGGAAGATACAGGAAAAGATGAGGCAGATATGAATCTAGGAGGTCCAAAAGCTGATAACAGGAGTTCTAGAAAGAACAGCAAACAAGACTTAATCACAGAAATTCAGAAATATATTTCTAGAGCTGAAGAGATGTCTTCCTTTAAAGACTCTACTGAATGTTAGGCAGGGTGATATAACGAACCCATATTTAGATCTATCACTATTTCAGACACTATGGATAAAGAGAAAATCCTCTACAATTCCAGAAGGGGGGTTGGGGTGGAAGCAGAGCACCCATTACAAAGAAATGACAACTGGAATAAAACCAGTTCTAACAGCAACAACAGATGCTTGAAGACAATGAAGCAAAGTCTCCCAAGAACTAAGGAAAAATTCTGAACCCAGAATTCTATTCCAAGCCAAACTAGCAATTAAACAAAGGACAAAACTAACAATACTGTCATATATACCAAGAGACTAAGTTTACCATTAGCATACCGTTTCTGAAAATGTACTCCAGCAAAATGAGGGTAAAAAACAAAAAAGATGTTGGACTTGAAACTGGAATTAACCCAGGTGTCCAATGAAAACAGGTGTCAGTACAGCAGCTGTGCAGAGGACCTAGAAAGTAATCAGTCCAAATCAGACAAGGCCATCAATGAGCTCTAAGGAGGATGTCTTCAGAAGACAGGAAGCAGATCCCGAGCACAGAAAGAAAACAAAAGATGGCATCAGGGAAAAGAGAGCATATATTTATGCTCTCAATAAGATAAGAGCAATCAAACTTCAGGGAAAATGTGAGAAAGTGGGGGCAACTGCAGAGGAAACAGTCTCAAGATGAAACAAGCTCAAATGTGGTGATTCAGGCAACTGAGGGAAGAACCCACTTGACCAGACACCAGGAACGCTCTCCTGTGTGTGGTGACGCCAGAACTGTGGCGTGAAAGAGATGCACTAACCACAAGATCCTTGGCTCGGTGATGAGTCATATTTACACACGTCATAATAATCAAATTGTCGTTGCACTAGTAATTTAACATTTGGAATTTATCTATAGACACACCAGGAAAGTTTGAATTATGGTCACAGAATGGGATATTCATGCCACCTACCTTAATAGTGTGAAAGTTGTAACAGAGAAGGAAAAGCTAACAAAAGCTGGGAGGTGAGATCAAGAGGTAACCAGCAGGAGTGTTATAGCCTCACCTTTCAAAACGGGGAGCCAGGAGATGCTATCAAGAGTTGATTGAATAATAAACAGAAGTTTAAATATATAGTTTTAAAAGGTGTAACAGTCACCAAGAGAGGAATTAAAAACAGCGATATTACTGTTAAAATGGGGATGGGAGTGAGGGAACCAAGTGACCTTAAGCCTCATCTACTACAGCAAGTCATCAGCAGGAACGCCTGAGATGGAAAATCAAGAAACGACGGCATAAAGATAGTACTTAGAAATACGGGTGTACCTAAGGAACGATCTGAGAATAGAAATGGTTAGATACGACTTTTGAGGAACAGGCCTGGGATAGGGGAGAGCAAGACTAAGTATTGGGTCATCAGGAAAGTCATGATGCATTTTTGCATTGAAAAACATAGAAAAATACGTCATGATTTACCCGACAACCCAGTAGCTTCCATCACAAGCACTTCTGACCGTTATAATTTTAAAGCACATGCACTTACAATTTTGATTAAATAATTTAATGAATTTTTAAAATAAAAATATCAAAGTAAAGTTTACTACTATAACATTAACGGTATATACTAGTACCCATCCACTGTTAATATTTATCCACTGTTAAGCTTCCATGGTATTTTATTATGTCACTTCTAGACCAGAGGTGAATTTTATATTTCAGTTGTCATTTAAATTTATATCTAATTCACCTAATCCAAAGCATACATTTTCCCCACATTTTTGCGTCATTGAAATAAGGATGGACTCAATGGGCAGGATTTTTTTTCTTAGTGGTATATAAATTATGATGACCTCTTATAATCAATAGTGTCTTAGATTTGATAAAATACAATACTTGTAAAAAATTATATATCGAGGTATTTTCCCCCTACATCACTTTATGAAGTCACAGACGGTTACATTTTCTTTTCCTACTCTGCCTCTCCTTCATTGTACTCCAGCCATACACTGGCCATTGGGGTCTCTTCCTGAACATCTCTGGGCCTTTGGACCAGCTGTTATCCAGCCTGGAAAGCTCCCACACCCACCCAACCAGCTCCTCCCATGGCTCGCTCCTTCCTCAGCTTAAACGTCACCCCCTTGGAGACGCTTCCAAATGAAAGCAGTTCTACTGCCCAGGAGCATTTCCTATCATATTACCCAGTTTTATTTTCAGCAAAGCACTTGCCCTAATATTTTCATTTATTTGTCTCTTTCCTCACTAAAGCATTAGCTCTAGCAGAGTAGAGAGCTTACCCACCTTGTTCAACACCACATCCCAGCACCTAGAATAGAGCCTGACGTGAAGTACATGCTCACGTTTCTAGAATGAATACTTTAAAAAATAATGCTAGGCTATGGACACAATAGCTAATCATTTAGCAAGTAACTATGTTTCAAATTTATAAATAACATTTCTTAATTCTATGGAAAAGACTCTCATATGTATAAATTATTTTGTTAGCAAGACCCATTTCTGATTGCTATTCAGTTAAATGATTTTAGACATATACTAATAGCATATACCAATACTAATTTCCATAGCATGAAACAATTCATACCATCTTTAATTTATTTGTATATATTCCAAATCTACTGACTCTTGACCAGAACTGATATCAAACAGGTGGCAAACTAGGATGAAAAAAACTAGGTTGTGTCAAAAATTCAAGAGTGTGATTACCTTCGACTCTTTCAATTTTAAGAAGGGTAGTCATCTTATCTTTCCCAAAGGAAAGATGATGTTAATATTACTGTTTATACTTATAATTTTATTTCCCACAGCCCAATTTAAAGGAGTAACTGAAATAAAATTTGTCTGCTATTGCCGAACATCAAACAAGAACAGTTATGAATAACTTCACTGTCAATTTAATACTTGCATTTCACATGAATGACAAAAGGATAAAATAAAAAGGCTGAAATCCTGAAAAAGTATATTTATCTGCTTTTTTTAATTCAAAAACCCATTGTTCTTTGGTAGGTGATACAAAATTGTTTTCCAGTCAGCTCATAATTTCTACGATTTCTATAGTAACCATAAATTTGAAAGGTTCCTGCTCTCCCCACCCCAATTCATTTTTGGCACCTGTGTGTAAAATGTCACTTCTGAAGAATGGGGAAAAGATGTGAATATTGGGTTTTTATCACAGCACTCTTTTCCTGATAGAAAATTTTCTGATTGGTGAATTTGGAATATCAATTCAAGAAAGATTAATAATATCTCATCAATAAAAACCTTTTCCTAACCATATGGCTGTCTCAGAAAAAAAAATTAGAAAGAGCAGCCAATTCTCAGAGATAAAGGGGCAATGACTTTTCCTTTCCCATTTCTTCTAATTTTAAATTTAGAATCACTCAGCAATTCTATGAGAGGTAGAATGTCTGGCACAGGCTCTGACTTCATGATTTTAGAATACAATTTTAACTCATCACATTCTTCTGAGGAACTCATGTTACACGTAAAGAAACAAAAGAAGAGCTTCTCCCACCCTCAGCAAGCAGAGAGAAGCTGATCAGGAGGACAGGGTGTGCTGATTACTAGTTGGAGAAGAAGGGGCCTCCCCATAGGACTGGCAATTAGGAGAGGATTTAGCAAAGTAATTTTTTAAATCTGATTATAAAGCATATTACTCTTGAGTTTTCACTTAGTCTATTAAAAAGCTCCTACACAAAAATCAGGATGCTACAAGAGGAAAATAGCCAACACAGGCTATCATTGGCCAATATTTACATACAAAAAAAGACAACTTTCATTTTTCATATGGGAGAAGAATTTATGAGCTTGGTATTGACCTTTTTGGCCCAATTCAAATTTATTTTTTTAGCTATGATTCAGATCCACTGGGTATTGCCAAGAAACGTATCAAAAAAAAAATCTTTGAATTTTTCAACATCATTAGAGTTTACTGGATTTTTCTGAGTACTACTGTTAAGCTGACAAGGGTTAGCGGAGTCTTACCCCACTCCTTCCCCCAAAACCTAATAAAATAAGACATTTTCATTTCAAAACCAAAGATGCTAATGTTATGAAACTGGGGGTGGGGGGGAAGATGCTACGACAGTCCTCTTCCATTTACTACACACTGGACGATTTCCTACCTCTAGCACTATATACACAGCTAAGCTTCTGGGAGGGAAGGAGGGAGACAGGGAAGGAGAAAGAGGGAAACTCCCAAACCTCCTGACAAAGCAGCCAGTCCATTGCAAGGTCAAGGAATTCTTTCTTCTGCCAGCCACTGATTCACAAATATTTTTCCCCATTTGAGAAGTCTGCATGAATGAAGTTGGGGTGAGCAGGGAACACACCAAGAAGTAGACTAGAGTCTTCCCTTAACCACCCGCCCTATGTCCTTAGCTGCGATTGACTTCATCCACCATCTTGACATTCACAGTAAGCAACATCTTTCTTTAAAACTTTTCTTGTTCTTGCTGCTTTTCTTGCCATTCTTGTCCTTGTTTTCTGACATCTTCTTTGCTCTGATTTCTCTCATTAGATCAAAGAACACCTGGCATGAGGAGGAAGGGGTGAAGAGAATAGGGAAGAGAAAGCCATTTAATGATATAATGAAGCAATTAGACTAAACATAAAGCCAAACTTATAAGCCATATGCCATCAAAAACAAAAGGTCTAGAGCAAATAAGAATAATTAACATTAAAAACATATTAACATCTCTGCTATATCATACCATCGATCCACCTAAAAACAAAAGCATCATACTGTTACTACCACTCAACGCTTATTTCAAAATGATAAAATGTTTTCTTCCAATACTATGGTGAAGGATGAAACAGCACAAAATGGATCTACAACAGTTCATGACATTTACAAATCTTGAGAGTGACAACAGTAACCAGGCTTTCTGGCATTTCCAACCACCAGAAAAGGAAAGAATGATACAAGTGCCTGTACCTTATTTAATTCTTATCACCCTGTAAAGGTAGGGATATTGCACAGGACAGTGTTCCCGCAACTCCACAAGAGCAGACTTGGGAGCACAGTGCGGGGCAGAAAGAGGCCGTGCATCATAAACAAATAAAGGCTCCTGCACGATGAAGCTGGGGAAATGGGGAGAGAGGTGTCCTGGCACCCTTCCCCATGAATGCTCCTACCCTACTTCTCAGGAACAACCTCTCCTCCATTCCCTGCAATGTCAGCTGAAAGGAACCTTATCAAGAACTGCCGAGACTTGTCCTCTAAATGCCAGTGTTACTTAGATACGGATTATCATTTGTCACAATAGTTTGGGTTTTACCCTCTGGTGCCAGCAATCATGCCAAAGTATTGTCTATACTCAAGCAGACAAAATATGCCTCCTACAAAAAAACGCCTGCGATTTCTCCTAGAGAATGACGGAGACTGAAAGTGGGAGATTTGAGTGTAGGCTTTTATCTTTGGACGTCCACACAAAACCACAAGCTCCTTTTATTTTCACAGACATACCTTCTTAGTAGAAAGCAACATCAAGCTTTCTGTGCGGGACTTCACGAGCATTTACCACCAGTTCAGGGCCCCGAAAGGGCCCCCTCCAAACCAGATCAGGCTGACCTGAGCACCCCTTTTCTCCAGCCTCTCAGGAAAGCACCCCACCCATTAAAAGCAATAGTGAAGCACTTCATAAGTTACAGGTTTTTCTTTTTGTTCTAACAGCAAAAGTCAGGAGGAGGGTAATGGAGTGTGTCCAATTTAAAATGATGACCAAGTTGCTCATCAGCTGATCTTATCAATAATCTCCTTTCGTGTAAATTGTTTACAAATGAATACAATGCTGCCAGTCATAAGTTTCTGCTGATTCCTGTTTGGCCGGCCAAGCTGGTTCAGTGGAGGAAGGAGAGATGACAAGCCACTGTACAACAGCACCATCCCATGAAAAAAATACACCTCGACAGTTCCATGCCGAGAAAGCCTTCCTGATTTTTTGAAAATGGAGTATACATCTGGATTTCCTGTGTGTTTTCTACAGCTAGGAAAGAGCCTGACAGAGAGATTTGGAATAGCATAAGAATCAACATAAGAGTTGAGATAATAAAATGAAGAAAAAGTGGCTGACAAGTGAACACACATTACACTGCAGACTACAACTAAACAGGTTTATGTTGCAGGTGCTGCCAAAGTTTTTCTAAAGTAAGCCCCTTCTAATACCACATTCTAAATACCAATGTTCCTTTCACATCCTTTCAAGCTAAAGGAAAGTTTGGTCACAAACCTCTCCCTCTTCAAGTAAGGAGAACTTTTTTCTCCATAAGAAAGAGACATGAGAAGCTGATTGGGAGATCCAGATGCAAATGCTGCATCACACAGAGCAGCTATGCCACTGCTTGGCTGCCAAAGCAAACTGTGTTTAGATTTTACAAAAGCATGAATCATGATGAACAAGGCGAAGGCACAAGGAAAGCCTCATTTTTAGGTTGTCTATTTTAGCTGTGTGACAACCACTTTGAGCCTAATTAAAAAAAAAAAGAAAAGAAAAGAAAAAAAAGACCTAACAACAACAATAATCACTGGTAGGTGGGTTTTCAAACTGTCGACACTCATCGAGATCATCCTTTCATTAGCTTCTGAGATTTGAATGAGAAAGTAAACTGGGGATCAGTAAGGGAGAGAGGAAATCCCTGGAGAGTTGATTCCTGAGGGCAAATACTATGTAGAGACTCAGTTATAAAGACACCTTGGCTCTGCCTGTGGACCATAAGGTGAAAAGAATAAATCTAACCAATAACTCAGCGAGAGAAAAATCAAGACAAGCCGTGTTTCTTTGGGGGCCTCCCAAGCAGCAGCCGAGCACAACCAGCCCTGCGCCTGAAGAACAAAGGGCTATGGAAGATGAGGCAGTGCAGGGGGCTCCAGTTAAGTCCTTGCTTAACAACGTCGTGGATATGTTCGGCGACCCTAAGCAAACCAGGCCAATTTTACCATAGAGGCTAATTGATATAAACAATAGTTAAGTGCCTATGGCATATCAGCAATGTTATAACAAAACAACATTGAAGGAAAGGACATTATCTTAGGACTTGCTATATTTATGCCCATCCTTCCAGCAGTCTTCACAAACCAATGGCTTCATCTTGCCATACTTCCAAGGGCCGCGCTGACATTAAGCATACTCTAACAAGGTTGGTGACAAAATGAAAGGGCTCTGGGTTGTTTTAAATTCGGAGTCAAACCCTCCCAGTGCTTCTCACTATAATAACATACACAGCTGGAAAAATCAGTCCTCCTCTAGTTTCCATAAATTGTTCCCTTAAAACCAAACAGACCAGGCGTCTGGGTTCTGCTGTTTCTCAAGTCGGCTTCCAAGCAGCACGCAGCGCACGCCCACCTTGTCCACGTTGGCCCGCGTCTTGGCCGACGTCTCCACGTACTGCACACCCCACTCCTCCGCCTTACTCCGAGCTTCTTCCACTGGCACCTGCCTCCGCTCCTCCAAGTCCGACTTGTTGCCCACCACCAGCAATGGAATTTTATCTTCTTCAGCCTTAACGCGGAGGATCTGTTCCCTGAGGTGTTACAACAAAAATAAAGCCATCTGAAATGAAAGGCTCTCCAAAGGCAGAAGAAGAAATTGCTGGACTGGGGGCATGTCCCAAGGACGCAGGGGAATGCCCCCAGATCCTGTCAGAAACGAGACAAGGGTTTTCAAAGTCAGCTTCTCAGAAAGACCTGGCATGCTTCTTACACATATAGATTGCTGGGCCCCACAGTAGTCCTACAGAAGTAAGTAAATGTCTGGATGGGCGCCCAGGATTCTGCATTTCAACAGGATCCCCAACTTATGCTTAGGCAAAAAAAGAAAAAAACCACAGGACCTCTGAGATGAAAGCAAGCTGAAAGAAGTATCATCTCATCATACATAAAATGCTTAATAATCCCCCTGAAACACTGGTATAATTTCTCTGTGAGAATAAAAGCTACTGTTTTTCATATGGAAGACTGTGTATGCAGTCTATTAGTAGATCCTGAAATCAATTTAGTGGGTCACAACCAGTAATCTTTTTTTTTTCTCAGTGAAATAGCATAAAAAAGGAACATCAGAGGGAACCTGTACCAGTAAAGGTAAGTATGGTTTTGTGAAACTTCTGTTTCAATTATATCTATGTGTGTATGCACCAGTCCCCCCAACGCCAACCCTCACCCCCCGCTGGGGTTTCCATTTAGACACAGTAAAGGTTACAGAATGGTGGAGGACTGCTATGTTAGACAGTAATTGTATTCAATGTGCATTATTATTCTACTACAAAGTGAACAAAAAAAATGAAAGGAAGTACTGCAAGGCCTATGGAAAAGTACTTCAAAAGCATCACCTCTAAAAGAACATTAAATTTTACCTCAACTAAAAATAATCTCAGCTCTATAAAGTTATTAATCAAAACCAAATATTAAAAAAAATTAAAAATTCCACTTGCACTATTTTGATCTAGTGGGGACATTTCTACTTCTACATGCCAATACATTCCAAATAGAGATCACTTCAAAAATGTATTTGGTGGAGATCTGCATTGATTTTTATGTGATATAGGGTAACATTTCATAATAATAAAAGTATTTTAAAAGTTTTCCATGCAGTCAATTGAAGTACCAGATATCAAATATTTTAAGAAAAATGGGCCAGCCGAGTGGCTCAGTTGGCTAAGAGCTCGCTTAAGAGTGCGAGCTCTGAGCAACAGGGTCATCAGTTCAATTCCTGGCCCAAGCTGAGCTGCCAACAGGCTGTTGGCAGGATGGCTCACCCAAAAAAAAAAAAAGTATTTTAAGAAAAATGAAAAAGAAAAGCAAGTAGGTGCTTGAAAATTGCCTCTAAGTAGCTTTGCTTTCCCGTACATTTCAACAGGGGTCAAAGAGCATGCTATATTAAGAAGTTATGTGATCAACATAAACTATAAACAATAAAAACGGATAGCTTTCTGGCTCACTACTGTTCCAGAGGCGTGTCAAATCACCTCAATAATCATACTGATCCAAACATGGAGTACCAAGTTCTGGTTTCTTGTAACAAACCCATTTCTCTAGTTTATGGAATATGTCCAGGAAAAGTTTCAAGATAAGAGTGTATTAACATTTTGTTTTATGTTGGGATCTTTCCATTTGGAAGATAAATATGGAAATGCTCTGTTTTAGAACTGCTAACAGGCATAAAGTGACTAAGTTTAACCACAAAGGCTCGGCTAATCCACCTCCATTCTTCTGATTCCAATGACATGAGAAACCTGGACAGCTCTGAGACTTGTATCTAAATGTCAGAGTTCAAGTCAGAAGAACCAACTTCCCTTCCTTTTTCTTCTAGGTAGTCCTGTCCTTTTCCTTCTAAGGATCCCTCTCCCCTCATAACCACCAAAACCCTTCTCCCAAGATGAGATGCAGACTATACTCCAACTCTATGGGAATGAGTATTATTCGTGTGTGTGTGTGTGTGTGTGTGTGTGTGTGTGTGTGTGTGTGTGTGTAGTGATCCTGATGGGCAGGACAGGGTGGCACCATGTATTCTCTGGAAATGACTCTTCTACTGCCCAACATTTCCTTTATTGGTGAGTCAAAGGACAACAGGAAATCAAAAGGCTCCGGACAGGGAAGAAAATAAGGTAGTGTCTGCATCTGCCCTGTTTTACCTCAAGGAGGCATAAAAACAGGATTACGTAGCTGCAAACACAATTATGACTCCATGGGCTATATCCACATATACAAATCTCTAGGTGTGTCAAAGAAGTGTAAAAATAAGTAGAACTTCTCCTAAGGAGTCCTAGTCATTTGATAGATCACCACAGTACACACACTATGGTACCAGAGAATTGATACTCAACTTTTAAAGTCTGTGCTGGTTTACTGGAGTTCACCCCTTGAGGCTTCCCTAGATCACTGATGCCTCCCTCCAAATCTTAGGGGGATATTTAGTTTCCTCATTTTTACCCTTGGTTGATCACCTTAATTTCTGACAAACTTGCTAAAGAATAAAAAAAGTTGGTTTTTTTTTTCGTTCTCTGTTAGACTCTAGATCTGGTTCTTAAAATAAAAAGTCATCTGGACAGATGTGTATAAGGAGGATAGATGAAAAAAGGCAATGGTGTAAGAGAAATGGGAAGGGTATGGGGTAAAGAGAAAGATATCCTTCCCATTAGAATTCCCATAAGAATTATGCCTAACGGTTCACTATTTTCTTATAACAAAATAAACTTAATGTATCTTAACTAGCACATTTTCAAATGAGTTATAGCATTGAATATTCTACTCACTGCGTAAAGACCACGTGACCATGTAAGAAGGCCTCGGGATACAACACAGTGAAGAGTAGCTACCATTCCCTGCCCTTACGGACTTTATAATCTAAAGCATCATTTCATCAAAAAACAAGCTCATCGGGCCGGCCGAGTGGCGCGATGGTTAAGAACTCGCTTGGGATGCCAGAGGGCCCCGGTTCGGATCCCACATATGAGGGCCAGTGATACTGCCCTCTACAGCTAAGATGCTGAACAACGGCTCAACCTGGAGCTGGGCTGCTGTGAGTCGCCGGCGACGGCGTAGGCTGCAGTCCCTATGGCAGTGGGTTGCCGTGGGCTACCGTGTGTAGCCAGCAGCCAGCGTGAGCGGCCAGCAGCCGCAGTGAGCGGCCGTCCAGAAGCCGGCAACTGATCTGCCTCACCCGGGAAGAGCGCAATGATGGTGCCAACTTGGGCCAGTGAAGCAACATCCTCCACAACTAGACTGAAGAACAAAACGACAGCAACTTTTCTGTCCCCCTTCCCCCAATTCCCCAGCACTGTTCCCATCCCCCCAATTCACCAATAAAAAAAATTTTAAAAAAAAAACCAAAAAAAAACCAAAAAAACAAGCTCATCTTCAGATAAAGAAACAGCATCTTTGATGCTAAGTAAACCTGCTCTGGGTCACCAAAGTGGTCAGTGGCAGGGCGGGGATTCAAACCCAGGTCTGCCTGACTCTAAAGTTGGGTTCTTTCTACCTTATGTACCAGCAAATGGTCCCTCTGACTCACATTCTTTCACTCTGCTAACAATGTTTCATAAACAGATCAAACTTGTTACTTTTCCAGCAAAATTATAAAAAATATAAAGATGGCTAACGCTTATCAGTCACTGTCTCTTAGGGTTTATATGAAAACAGAACAACAGGTTCTTAACTACATGAAATGGCTTTGTCCTTTTAGGGACAACATATTCTTAAGATAATTTACATTCAGAAATTATTATAAAAAGGGAAGTCCAAAGAGATTATAACAAATGGTGGACTACAATGTGCCAAGATTCAAAAAGCTCCAGAAAATTCTTTAGACAGATTGTTTCTAATTACAAGCTCAACCCTCTACTACGACGTTCAGACCCAAATTCCTTCTAAGCCAAATCACATGAAAGGAAGTCAAAAAGCCTGCTGGAGGCTGGAGGCTATTTCCAACATACCTGAACTCGGCAGTTGCTGTAAACGATTCATGTTCTGTAATTGAGAACACCAGGAGAAAACCCTCCCCACTCCGAAAGTAGTTGTCTCGAATGGCTGCGTAGTCTTCTTGTCCGGCAGTGTCCAGAATATCTATCTGGACTTCTTCTCCATCAAGAACTACTTTCTTTCTGTAACTGTCAGCTTTGGTAGGTTCATAGTCTTCCACGAACTGTGAAAATAAACAGCATTATAAGAAATTAACAAAGTTTTAAGGGGAATAAAATCTGCCACAAAAATAAATAGCAGCATATGAGTACTCTGCCTGCTTTGCCAGCTGAGTGGTATGAGTGCCTGAAATTATCATGCTATGTGTGCGGCACTATGAAATACAAATAACTCCTTATAGAACACTTCTGTTCATTGCTCTGTTCTACGATTTTTTATTTTGTTTTTAAACAACAAGAGCAAATATTCCCATGTTACAGGTGAGGGAGCCAAGCACAGAGCAGAACACTGGGCAATACTGTTGTCAGTAAAAAACTCTAATACAAACACTGGCAAGGGTGAGAAAGAGGAGCTCTTATTCAAAACCAACACAAGTATACAAGTCATCTGAAAAGTAAGTAGTTTGGCCAGAGATACAAAGAGGTCTAAATGATGGTACATGATAAACTCCAAATGGGTCAAAGATTAAATGTAAAAAATAAAACCCTCAAGTACTAGAAGAAAATGTGGGTGAAATCCCTTTATTACCTTGATGTAGAGAAGGCCTTTTTAACTATGACTCAAAATCCAGAAGCCATGTAAGAAAGAATTTATAAATTAGACTACATTAAAGAAAAAGAAAGAAACAAACAAAAAACTTCTGTTTGGCAAAGCACACCATAAACAAAGACAAATGATGAACAGGAAAATATCTGAAGCCATACGAGTGTAACGAAGAGCTATTTAAAAAGTCTCTAGAAACAGAGAGGGAAAAAAAGATCAACAATCCAATGGGAAACAATGGCAATGGACAGACACAAGACACAGAAAAGTAAGTGCATATGATGTTAAACATATGAAAAGACGTTCATCCTCACGAATAAACAAAACAAAAATTGTAACTGCATTGCGATGACACTTTTCACCTACCAGAATGGCAAAAATCCCAAAGTCTGACCACAGACTCTGCGGAAAAGGTACTATTGTACATTGCTAGAGGGCGTGGAGAACAGCACAGTCCTCTGGCCATGAATATGGCAACACCTAATACAACGAGAAAAGCACTTGTCCTCTGTCCCAGACATCCTGCGTCTAGGAATCTAATCTACAGAAACACCTGCACGAGAACATACAAGGTTACTCACTGTAGCCCTGTGTGTAACAGCAAAAAATTCAAAGCCACCCAAATGCTCAGCAATAGGAATCCACATGATGAAATACTATGCAGCTATTAAAAATAAGGAAGAAAATTATGTACTGACATGTAAAGATATCCAAAATATAACAGTCTACTGTTTGCACAAGGAAAGCAGGGAGAATAAAAAATTATATATATATATATATATATATATATATACACATTAAATATATATTGTATGTGTTATATATATTAATATGTATGTATATGGATATATGTATTTATATATGTTCCAAAAAGATACCCTGGAAGGACGGACAAACAAAACAAATTTAAAAGCTGTTAAACAGAAAAATTAAAGTAAGTGAAACTAAATGAATATTAAATAGGTAATGTAGCCATATAGAGAGAATTAATTCAAGTGACTTTAGAACAGAGTATTTTGATGATAGAATGCATTTCACTAAAAGAAACTAAGGACAAAAAAATTTGAAATGGTAAACTTCCCTCACCACATATTATTTAGCAATAATGATACTAATATTTCAAAGCTATTTTCTTTATATATTATACAACAAATAAGTAATTACCTTAATGATGCTAGAAGTCAAAATATTTTTTAAAAAGTAAATTAATGACAGCAATGAATGTATTGTTAAAACTGAATTGGTGGTGGTATACGTAAGTGGTCTCCACATGCAAAAGAATGAATCGGATCCTTATTTCACATCACATACAAAAATTAATTCAAAATAGAACAAAGACCCCATGTAAGTGCTATCAACTCTTAGAAGAAAACATAGGTGTAAATATTTATGACCTTGGATTTAGCACTGCATTCTTAGATATAGCACCAAAAGAAAAAACAAAACAAAAAAAACCATAAATAGGACTTCATCAAAATTTAAAACTTTCATGCTTCAAAAGACGCCATCAAGAAAGTGAAAAGTCAACCAACTGAATGGAAGAAAATATTTGTAAATCATATACCTAAAAAGGAACTTCTATCCCAGATATATAAAAAACACTTAAAACTGAACAATGAAAAGACAAATAACCCAATCAAAAAATAGGCAAAGGATCTGAATAGACATTTCTCCAAAGAAGGTATACAAATGAACAATAAGCACATGAAACGATGCTCAACACCATTCATCATAAGGGAAATGCAGATCAAAACCACAATGAGATACCATTTCACACCCAATAGGATGCTATAATAAAAAGACGGACAATACAAAGGGTTGGCGAGGATGCGGAAAAACGGAAATTTCCATACATTACTAGTGGGGTTATAAAATGGTGCAGCTGCTGTGGAAAACAGTTTGGCAGTTTCCAAAAAGTTGTATAAAACTACCATATGACCTAGCAAATTTCTTGCCTAGATATATGCCCGAGTGAATTTAAGACACATGTGTACACAAAAACATGTACCAAAATGTTCATAGCAACATTATCATAATAGCCAAAAAGTATAAACAACGTAAGTGTCCACTGATTGATGAATGGATAAACAAAACATGGTGTGCTGGTGTGCTCAGACTATGGAATATTATTCAGTCATACAAAGGAATGATGGGGCCGGCTGAGTGGCACATTAGTTAAGAGCTGGCTTGGGACGCCAGCTCTGAACAACAGGGTCCTGGTTTGGATCCCACATGAGGGCCAGTGACACTGCTCTCTACAGCTAAGATGGTGAACAACAGCTCAACCTGGAGCTGGGCTGCTGTTAGTCGCCGGAGATGGCATAGGCTGCAGCCCCTGCTGCAGTGGGTTGCCATGAGCTACTATGAGTGGTCAGCAGCCAGCGTGAGCTGCCAGCAGCTGCCATGAGTGGCCGTCCAGAGGCCGGCGACCGATCTGCCTCACCCAGGAAGAGCACAATGATCACAATACCAACATGGGCCAGTGAAGCGACGTCCTCCACAACTAGACTGAAGAACAAAACAACAGCAACTTGTCTGTTCCCCTTCCCCTGATTCCCCAGTGCTGTTCCCCTCCCCAAATTTCCCAATATAATCTTAAAAAAAAAAAAAGGAATGATGTCCAGATTCAGGCCACAACATGGATGAACCTGGACAAATTACGGTTAAGTAGAAGAAGCCAGACACAAAAGGTCACATATTATTTGATTCTATTTATATGAAATGTCCAGAATAGACAAATCTATGGAAACAGAAAGTAGATTAGTGGTTGCCAAGACTGCGGGAAGGGGGAATACAGTGACTGCTAATGGATGTGGAGTTTATTTTCCGGGCAATGACAATGTTCTGGAATTATTAACAGATAGTGGTGATGGTTGTACAACTTTATGAATATACTAAAAAACACTGAGTTACCGACTTTAAAAGGGTAAATTTTATGGTATATAAATTATATATCACTTTTTTTAAAGGAATGAGGTACTACTACAACATGGATAAACTTGCAAAACATTACATTAAGTGAAAGAAGTCAGATATAAAGGTCACATATTTTATGATCCCATTTATATAAAATGTCCAGAATAGGCAAATCCATACATATAGAAAGTGGCTTCCAGGGACCAGGGATGGGTGGGGGTGGAGGGGTGGAGCTGTAATGAGGAATGACTGCTAATATGTAGGGTGTTTTGGGCAGAAGGAGTGATAAAATGTTCTCAATTTATATAATGGTGATGCTTGCATATCTGTGTGAACAGACTAAAAATCATTGAATTGTACCCTTTATAAGGATGAATTTCATGGTGCGTGAATTATCTCAATAAAACTATAACTTAAATTTTAAAAAATTTAAAAATTGATTTGAAAGTATCAATTTGAACTTATGGGCCCTTTGAAGAACACTCTGTTTTTTTTCCAACAGAGGCAGAAAACTATTCATTGACTCGTTCAGACGCACTCAGAAGCCTGAGGTTTAATCCCAGTTGTGCTGTCTCCTTGAACACTCTAAAAAGAGCCTTGTATTCCCAATTAAGAGCTACTATTACAGTTCAAATTATTTTAAAAATAAAAATACTAAAAGATTTTTAGTATTAGGTTCTCTTATAATTGTACCAATAATTATCTTAAAATAGAAAAAATGTGAAAATTTGCCCATGCTTCACAAGTGTCATTTTGACTTCTTTCCAAAGAGACAAATACATGACCAACCACCCACTCCAGCACAAATCTCTGAATACCACCATACGCGTAATACATCTCAGCTGCATATTTCTGAGCTCTGGAGGTTAAAACCAGTAAGAGTTCCACTGACTCCTTTGACACTAGAAGTCAGTATGTCCTGATACAACTGCATACCTCTGTGCCAGTGGAAAGTGTACTTATTATTAGAACATTAGATTACAACCTTGGTGTTTACATGTTTCCACTAAAAATAGGGAATCCCTGAAGTCCTAGAATTTGTTGAGATGAACCATACCACTGGCCTTGCCGGACTGTGTGCAGTACAATTCCAGATGCCCAAGACATACAAATCTAAGATAAACTTCACACAGACACCTTCTTACTGAGCCATCTCTAAGCTGACTTTGCCAGCCCCAAACGTCTGAAGCTGTTGGTGCAAAAGTCTCCCCATGACCAACCTCACATTACCAGAAATGGCAAATAGCTTAAACAGTCTCCAAGTATGTTCAGTCAAGGATAGAAAGGTTAAAATCTCCTTCTACTTTTCTCAAAGTCAGAACCTAGACAACAATAAAGACTTCTGGGACTGTGGCTCCTTCCATAATCCAATTTTCATGGCAATTCCACCATATAAGCTAATTAAACAAACAAACAAAAAACTAAGGGTAAAGTATTGGAACAGGAACAGAGATTTAATGGCCCATGAGACTTTTAGACAACTGGCATCCCCAAATATAAGACTCAGTTTCCTTTCTTATGAATTCAGGCACCTCTGCCCACTAGGCACCAGCAGCACATGCCCCCCAGTTGTGATCGCTCAGGCAGGAGTTACCAGACCTGGCCACAAGTCAGAATTGCCAGGAGGGCTTTATAAGACGAAAGGTTCCCAGTTCTCAATTCCAGAAATGCTTTTCAGAAGGTATTTTTTAAAAAGGTACCCCAGGAGATTCTATGATCAGCAAGGTTTGGGCATCACTGGTAAGGTCTCTTCAAGCTCCAGAATTATGATTCTGGAACTATACTGACCAATATAGTAGCAACCAGCCACGTCTCAAGTGCTCAGGAGCCACGTCTATTGGACGGTATAGATACAGAACACTTGCATTAACTCAGAAGGGTCTCCAGACAGTACTGTTCTAGAAATCAGGGAGACTTCCCCAAACACACATCACTTCTTCCTTTGCTCTGATTTTATGTTACCGTTTCTTCAGTAACTGCTGCCTTCCGGTCCTCAGACATGTTACCCCATAAGAAAAATAGCCTAAAATCAAGCACTGCTTTCCTTTGTTTCTCTGAAGAAGCTAAGAAGAAAACACTCTTGATTCTTTTGCATGCACCTTTCTGTCCCTCTTGCCACACACACACACACACATACATCATAACAGTGAAAACCCCAGATGAGACTGCTAGTTTCCCGCAGTGTCGGCAGCCATGCTAAGCAGAAGGTTCCTGGCCTCGGAGCTCTGCCTCTCATCCAGGGCTTCTCAACAGCAGCACGATGGACATCTTGGATGGACAGTTCTCTCCTGTGCACTGTAGGATGTTAAGCAGCATCCCTAGCCTCTGCCCACTAGGTGCCAGTAGCACCTGCCCCCCAGTTGTGACAACCCAAAACATTAGACATTGCTAATTATTCATGCCTTAAAGGGACAAAATCCTCTTCCCTCACCTCATTAACAAACCACACCTCCAACCCTAGCTCCTTCATCTTAATTCCTCTTCTCATCCTCTTTTCTTCCCCAGCCTGATATAGAAGGGATGTTTAGTAAGCAAATCATGTTAGTCAGCAAAAACAAAGATTTCCAAAGCAGACCTCAAAGTTTGCATCTCTTCTTTTATGCAAAAATGTGTGGGTAAATTAAGCAGATTCTGCTAGATTTCCCCCACTTTGGCCCCTAGTATAAGATAAAGAAAAGCAAGCATCAAAAACAAAAGTTTCTCATTATATGATATAGCAGGGTATAACTCAGGACATCGAGGTTTCGGTCTGTAGCTTATTCATCTCGGGGGGCCCCTCTTTAAGAAAATAAAAAATTACAAATATTGGATAGAAAAGTGACTATCTAGAAGGAGAACTCAAAATCCATTATAAAATATTTTAGATGGACAAATACTGTGGTGAGCACACCACACCCTCAGGTGACCCTCAGCAAGTCATGACTTTGGATGATGCCCTTCCCTCGAAAGCAGAGAAACCTGTGAGCAGCTTCTAACCAACAGAATATGGCAACAGGCATGAGATTACCTGATTACATTTCCTTATGTAAGAATCTGTCTTTGCTAACTATAGAGACTTTTCTGCTGGCTTTGAGGAAGCAAGTGGCCATACTATGAACTACCCATGGAGAGGGCCTGGTAGCAGGAACCTGTGGCTACCTCTAGGAGCTGTTGGGCCTCCATCCTATATGTGCCAGCAACCAGAGAGCTTAGAAGAGGACCCGAGCCTCAGCTGAGCTCACAGCCACAGCTGACGCCTGACTTCAGCCTCGTGCGACCCTGAGCAGGGCACCCAGCTAAGCCATGCCAGATTCCTGACCCCTGAAAACTGTGGGTAACAAATATGTGTTGTTTTAAGCTGCTGACCTTGTGGTAATTTGTCACAGCAATAGAAAACTAACAAATACCACAAATATCACAAAATCTAGCAAAAATAACATTTTTATTAACTGCCTGGTATATTAACATACCTCTAGAATACCTTCCTATTTTTTGTGTGTGCTATACATTCTTTATCTTGTCATATGCCAATGATTTTGAAATATTTCCTATAGAGAATAAAGAAATAATTAAGTTCTTCCTCTAACCCAGTTGATCCAAATTTCTTTTTAGTGATCATTTAGAAAGGTTTTCTCAGCTTCACAACTCCTTGACATTACTAGTAATGAAAGCTTTAGGACTATTGTCAAATTTAGGATATCAGTTTCTAGCTCCATTTGTTTTGACCCTTGTTTCTCCTCCACGGCCCACACATCCAGTGCCAGGGGCACTGGACACATTCGTGCCAAGCTACACCCCTGGCGCTGCACCTCACATCACAATGGCAGGTGAGTCAGTGCAACGGACAGTAGGAATATTCCTGGAAGCCATTCCTACACTGGGATGGTTAGTAATAACCACCACAGGCCCAAAGTGACTTCAAACCACATAAGTATATACCACTAATCCCCAACTTAACGTATCCTTAATTCAACTTCCCTCAGCTAGAGCCCAAACACGCCCCTGGCCACTCCAACACCTCCCAACGTAAGAGGAAGCTGGACAGACAGAAAGTCTAGTGAAAAGAGATAATGATCTTAACCGACTGTGGTTCTGATCGCTTTCTTTCACATGTTTTGTAAAGGACATGACCATGTGGAAAATTGATGCAAGTGAGAGGCCCTGATGTTTACGCTCTAATCTGAACACTCTGCCTGTAATACCAGCAATGACCATCAAGAAGGGACATTCATTGCCACAGGAATCAAGACTGTATTGTCCTACTAGACTCAGCACCAGTTACATTATCCACATTGAGTGATGGCAATTTTGGGCAAGGATGGTGCAATCTTTACCTTGTTGCTGCAGAGAACTAGAGAGAACCTGAGGTCTATCTCTTGAAAAATAATCATTAAGTCTTATGATAACTTAGCTCACCCTTTCAATAGCTCCCCAAATTGACTCTCACAAAGCTAGGTATCAGACCTGTTCTTTAGAAGTTGAAATTACTTACCAAAAATCAGCAATCCAGACTTTATGCTAGTTAGACCCCTTATAAAGTTCAGAAACCACCTTAACATGAGTTTGCCCCATGGCCCTCTATGCAGATTGGGAAATGGGCACATGGACACTGCTGGAGAAGGCGCACTGCTATAGCACACTCGAGGATAAAGGCAGCCTGTGCCTGACGTGTCTTACCTCATCATACATGAACTGAAGTGTCAGGGCCGACTTGCCAACCCCTCCACTGCCAACCATGATCACCTTGTGAAGAGCCAAGGAGCTTTGGCTCTTACTCTTGTTTGCTGCCATGCTGCTGGTTTCCTGAGGTTGCGACACACGGACAGAATACCCAGTCGAGGAGCTGCCAATGAGAAAGACGGAAACTTAGAGGGTTTGGTTTCTACCCAACTGAAATCCATACGCTCCAGAAAAGCCCAACCCAGACATTCCAACAGAGAATAATTCTTCTAGGCTCCAGGCAGAGATGAAGCCCACCAGCAACTCCGGAAGTCATTTAACCACAGCAGTGCCAGAGCGAAGGCAAGCCAAGAGAGAAGAAACGGGATGGGCATCCGACACCTGTATCATGAGGGAGGGTGGGGAAACAACCTGCCACTAAAGATCAACACATCCTCCACACTGCTTCCCCGAGGGGGGGCCACCAAAGAGCTCCGAGTCCGAGTTTCCTGTCCCTACCTAGCGTCACCTAGAGCCACAGAGAACCCCAGGACTCAGGGACCTCACCCTCTCTGTGTTCTCACTCCAACACCCCCGTACCTCTCCCTCCAAACACACACCCACTCACACAGCCCTCCATGGGGACTAGGAGGTGACCTGAAAAGGGATAAGTACATGTATTTTTATAATGAATACCCTCCCTTCATGACACACGATAGAGTTAAAAGAAGGAGAACCAAATTCTTTACTTCAAGTACAATTTTTTTCTAATTGATTCAATGTGACAAATTTTTATTCAATAAGCGTAAGAGGGAATGAATGACATATGATTCCAGTGTTGCCCAATCGAACTTTCAGCGATGGTGGAAATGATCACTATCTGTGCTGTCCAATACAGTAACCACAAGCTACGTGGACTGTTGAGCACTTACTTCAAGTACGTTTAAAGTCATGAACTGAAATGAGTTCAACTTTCGTAAAATAACAATCTTATTAGTCAAAATCAGTTTAACCTCATCAGAGTGAGATAAAATGAATAGAGCGCCCCTGGAATATAATGTATTCTGAATAAGTAAATTTAACAGATACTACCTGGAATTTATTCTAACCCAAATGCCAAGTTTTATTTTAAATAATCTGTATGGGAAGGAAAAAAAACCTGGGCCTGAGTCCGCCTCTGCCATATGTGAGCTGTGTGACCTAGAACTAGTTATTCGGTTTATCCAAGCCAGTTTTCTTATCTAAAAAAAACTAGTAAATCACCACCTACCTTGCAGGATTTTTCTTAGTATTAAAATAAGATAACACGTGAAAGACCTAAGCACAGTACCTACCACACAGTAGGAACTTAATAAAGGTTGGTTTCCTTCCTATCTAACTTTAAGATAATTTTTTCTAATTACAACATGATGAGCTCCTATTTCCATGACTTCTGACAGAGTAACCTGAAAATACCCCCACTAGAAAAATAAATACACACAGCACACACAAACACACATCATTGGATAACACAGAACAACATCTTTGTAAATCAGTGGTTCCCATCCTTGGCTGCGCAATGGAATCACCTGCAGAGCTCTATATCCTGATGCCTGGGCCCCACCCCAAAAGATTCTGATGAAACTGGTCTGGGACGCAGCCTGGGCATGGGGACATCGAAAAGCTTCCCCAGGTGATTATGGTAGACTTCCAAGGCAGAGGACTTCTCGTGCATGCACAGCCAAGCTCAGAAGAAAGGAAGAAATCCCCGTGCTGAGGAGGATCAAAATCAGAGCGGTAAGAGCTGCCGTTTCTGCCATCCTTCATGGCTGCTACTCTTGGTAAATCCATAACCACAGAACTTGTCCAAAAACAAGAAATTAACATAAAAAGTAATCCCAGGCTGACTGTAGTGCTGGAGAAGGAAGCAGAGCGCTCAACACAACCTCTCTGGGGGGACAACGTGCAGTGAAGACAGCTCGGGATTGTCACAGATAAAGCCCATTCACAGAAGTGGAGGGTTCTAACCTGTAAAACTGAAGAAAATCACCACACACAAGAGTCAGCACACATCACAAGTAGGACTTCTCAGACAGCTCTTGCAAAAAGTATTAGCTGATCATTTTTAACCAAGACACAATCAAAATGTGAGAAAAAATAATTATCAAAAGACCAGGAGTTGAACAAGAAGCACTCTGAATGTCTAAAATATCTTTTAAAGTATTTAAAATGAAAAGTAATAAAAAAAATAAAAAGTAGGGGAGGAAAAACAAACCCATCTTAGTTCACTGGCAGAGGCTCCAAAAATTAAACTGACAAAGGACAGATTAATGAGAAAACAAAGAGAAGGAAAAGGAGAAAAACAAACAGAAGCTTATTAACTTGTGTATCTTGCATACACACAGGAGAACGTAATGATGAGTAATCAAAGGGGATGGTTAGAACCTAGGCTTATAGCATCTTGACAAAAAAACAAATTTTGTGGAGAAGTAACAAGACAGAGGAAAGGGACTCTGCACGTGTGGGGGTGGCAAATTGTGGGAGGGTAAATATAGGGGGGAAACTAATGGAAGGTAGTGAATAAGGTTTTCACTAAATGAGCTAGTGAATAAGGTTTGTTGTACAGATTCTTCTGGTGCCTGCTCTGTACAGATTAGAGTCTAGTGTTGTCTCAGGCGACTAAGAATCGTCCGTCCTGGCCACTTCCTGGTAGAGAGGGGAGGGCAGAGTTTTTGTCTATTACTTTCTCAGTTGCCTTTAGCTCAAAATACTCTTTCTGCCAAAGTGGCAGATTTGGGGGTGGTATATTCTGAACCCTTTCAATGGTCAGTAGAAAATTTACAAAATATACAAAACTATCTTTAAAAAAGAAAAAATCACCTACAATCCTGCCAACCACAGATATTCACTATCAACAGTGCACTTCCTGACACTATTTTCATCTATATAGTCCTATGTTTAAAACCTATTTGAGATCATATATATGTAGTTTTCGCATGTCATTTTTCACGTATTGTATCTGCCCATCTCATTAAACAGAGCAGACTGAACATAATTAAACCTTTTCTTGCTTTAATGATCTGATATCACCATAAAAATGAGTTGTGTGCACGGCCGTGGGCTCCTGAGTGGCAATCACGTCTGCTTGTCCTTCCTTTCTTTGGACCATCCGTTTACTTGCCTGTTCCAGGCCTTCTTCCCACTCCCCCTTTTCTAATTATGTGCTTTTTAATAATTGTCCTAAGCAATTAGCTACATAATTAAGCACACCTGAATTGTGACTAAAATAGAATAAATGGGATAAGGAGCAGGCTCCCCCAAAGGCTTCGGTTTAGGAACATGAAACTGCTCTGCTTTTGACCTAATTTCTGGTCCACAACTGTTTCCCACAGAGCTGAGGCTGGTTAGCGAGGTTGGAACCTCCAGACCATCGAGCTGTCACATTTCTCTGAAGCCACTCTGCTTCTATGAATTACCATAGTTGTATGAAAATAGAAAAATAATCTTCCAGGTTGGGGGGGACTCTTTCAAACACATGTAATTCTGAGGTGTTATTTTTAAAAAACAGTCAATTTTTCTAGAAGAAACCATAAAAAACGCACTGAAGACTATTCAACAAATTCATAGATAGTTTGCCAAAATGTCTGTGCTGAAAGCTCAAAAACTGAAGTAACCGTGGTGGATATTTCCAATCCACATAACTGCTTCAGTCAACTTGACATCATGAGGGCAGAGACAGGAAAAGGCAGAAGTGCCAGCCAAGCGTCCGCCACTGAAACAATCCTGGAAACCAGAAATGCCGTCCTCCAGACCCATTATTGGAGATAATAAACTCCTATTTGTTTAAACCACTGTTAATCTATTTATTGTTGTTGTTTTTACTTGTACCAAAAGCACTCCTTTACCGAAACAGTCTCTGCATTCAAGAAACTCAGTCTGGTAGTTCAGAGATTAGTGAGTGATTATCATACAAAATAAAAAAAAAAGGGGGGTGGGGGTGCTCTGGAAACACAGAGGAGTAACATCTAAATCAGACTGGAAGGTCAGGGAAATTTTACAGGAGCAACATAAGAACTGAGATTTGAAGGAGTTGACTAGATAAAGAGAAGAGAAATACAGGAAGAAAAAAAATCAATAAGGCTTAGGAAGTTCATTTTGATGGTTTAATGTTTATAATAGATATGCCTAGCCAATATGAGTAAATGTGTTCTTAGAAATAACACAAGTATCCTTTTCCCCAACATTTTATTATGAAAAGTTCCAAACTTTCACAAAAGTTGGAACTGTACACACAGTAAATCCATATACTCATCAACTGGATTCTACAATTCACATTTTGCTCCATTTGCTTTATCACACACCCAGTCATCCAGCATCCCTCTAACTACCCATCAGTCCGCCTTATTTTCTGTTGCATTTCCATGTAAGTTGTAGACATCAGTACACTCCATCCCTAACTTCAGCACAGACAACCATTGTTTCCCAAAGCAGTGATCTTGCCCCCACTGCCTTCACTAACAATTTCAGGACTATCTCTAAAGGGCTTGCAAATCGCCTAATCTCGTTAATGAACTATTTGGGTTCATAGCCAATACATGAAAACTACAACTCATACCTTCCAACAAGGGGAATTCGGGCCCATAACATCACATCCTGGCATGGCTCTTACCTTAGAGTCTTTTCAGGGGACTAGACAAACATACCAATAGACACCCTTTAATATGTCTCTATCTAACAACAGGAAAGCTCTTTTGTTCATTTTTTATTCATTTTCATCCAAAAAACATCTCAGCACTACTTTGTGCCCAGCTCTGGGTCTCTGCCCTTAGAAAACTCAAACTCCTATGGAAAAACATATAAAGCATTTTAATATAATTTTTCACATGCAATGATAAAGATAAAACAAGGTATAATGGAAAGCATGATGAACTCTGGGAAAAATGAATCAGGAAAGGCTTCAAAATTGAGTGCAAGTTCACTCAGCAGATGGAAATGAGAGACGGGAGCTTTCCATGCATAACAGAGAGCACATGCAAAGCAACAAAGGCATGAAACATCATAGTAGGTCCAGGCATCACAGAATACAGAAGCTTAAGGTATGGTGGGGAAGTGACTGGGTGATGAGTCTCAAAAGGTAAGACATGCTCATCTACAAATGGGCTTAAAAATGCCATCTTAAGAAATGTACCCTAGGGCCGGCCGAGT